ACCGCAAAGAATCATCGCGTCCAAGAATCATTCAGGAAGATTATTTATATAAATAATAATAATAAAATACTCATATAAATACTCACAAATACTCATATAAGTAATAATAATAAAATATTCATATGATGAAATAAATACAATAAATACTCATATTAAAGATCCAGAAAACTGGAATAAAAGTATTCGGAATCCTGAAAAAGCTGCCCACAAACAAATTTTGACAGCTAATAATAATTGGGAGACCTGAGCATTGGATATCTCGGCCAGATTTTCATCAAGAAACAGCTCCTTCAAATAGAAGCTAAACAGAGAGAAAATCTTGATTTTTTCCCAGTTCAAATCTAATTTTAGAGAGAATATGCGGAGGAAATTTTGCGTTTATAAGACATCTTTTCTATCGCAGCTATGTAATGATTTGAAAATAAGCTTCTTTCGAACAAAAATATTTGCTTGAAATTGCGGATAGATAAGTGAAAGATATATGAAAGAGTGAAGAGGAAATGGCAAAAAAAGAGCAATAATTTGTGATTGAATATAATAGAATTGTACGGAACTCATTTTGCAATTTCTTCACATTAATTAACTGCTAAAATCAAAATTTTCATTTCCATTTTATGACGCTTCAGTTAGTAATGGCGAAATATTAACGCATATCAAAGTTGAATCCATTTCCAAAATTAACATTTCCAAAAAATTAATTTTTAATCCAAAATTAACTTTTAATCCATTGGTTCAAATCATTTTTAATTTCCTTATCAATACAAATTTAACGGAAAAATAAAAATGATAGTTGAAATTGAAATCAAAATTAAAGGAGTAATGAGTAAAAAGAAGAATGAACATATATTATTCAGAACCGCTTAACAAATATCAGCAGTAACAAAAAAAAAGAGATGATTATCGATAAACAAATTGTTAGCTAATGAGAAAATATGCGTATCACAAACTTTCTAAAATTTTGAAAGTGTTCGAAATTTTAAATTGTTTGCAAAATATTGCAATAATGTTAGCAGTTATCATAAGGAAGACTTCTTGAAAGATCCCACACGGCGGCCATGTGAACACGTTTTACGTATTAAACGCATTTAATTTAAATAAAGATCAAAAGTTATCTGCAAACAATAATCGTATAGATCGGCAATAGTGATTATGATGAGAATCGCAGAATTCATACGATATTGAAATCGATGGGAATGACGATCGAACGATCGGTTGATCGTCAACTTGAAAATACAACCGGTTCTTCCCCCATTCTCTCTGTCATCTCTGTAATTGATAATGTTCATAAACAGTCAACAATAATGGAATAATTATGTGTCATTTCATACAGTTACTATTACTAGTAACAACTATACGAAAATTCTTATTTAATTTTCTCGTTTTACATTGAATTATAGCATCATGCAGGGTCAATTTACTATTTATTAAATAATTTCAAAATTCTTCAAATGTAAAATATTAACGCCAATTAAATTTAATTGGGTTTATTTCATTTCAATTTAACATATTTTGATCTAATTTCCTCCTTCTTCTCCTTCTCATAAAATTTAAATTATTTTAAACTGCATGCAATTTCTTTAAAGTTTTTTGGAAGGCTTTAAAAAGTTGAGTTTTGTTAGCAGGAAATAATATTGAAATTGCTGAATTAAATATACTCATATGTACCAGTAAAACACTTGACATGCTTCACGAATTTCTATCGAAATGTTTAAATGCAAGATGTTTAGTCCTTCATAAAAGATAAGCGCAAAATTTGAACCCCATTTAAGAAGCGCAGAAGGCTTAATGTTGCAAATAAGTAAAAGACAAAATATGCAAAGTTATGGGATATAAAATGTAAATACAATGCATCAATTATTGGAACAGAATTATTTAAATTTGCTATTATACAACACATAAGAGCTGATTCATTAATTGGCAAGGAAATTATTACTAATTGAATGGCGAGTGAGAAATGATTTTAGGGAATACACTATCATAATTAATAGAATAAAAGCGTAAATAGTCAATAATTTCTACCCTAACCTATTATTATTTTCGCTTAACTAATTCATCAAACTTTCTCTTCGTTCAGTAATGATCAGCGAACTAAGCAATAATTTTTCAGCCTCATTTTGAGTTATAATTGACAGCTAGCAATAAAGTGATGTTATTTTAGAATTACTTAATTACAGCACCAAAATAATTTTAAAAAAATATCCGTGTTACTTGCAATCGTCATAATAATCTGACTTGACTTCCGATTTGTTTAGTCTTCCTTCTACAATAACTTTCGATAAATGATTCAATCTTCCATTTATGAATATTCTCGATCGATTTGAATGAATCGTTTATTAATAATTCCATTTTTTACAATTTTTTGGCAAAAATTTAAAAAAATTTATCGACTTTTGCTTTTCTTAACAATGTATGCTCTTTTTTTAATTTTTACTAAAATGTTTATGTTTCTTTTTGATTTTCAAATTTTAAGCTGCAAAAACATTTGTTTGTCAATAAAGTGCATTTGTTTTAGATAAGAGAAAACAATAGCCAATATTTTCTCCTATTAAAGCATACTAATTATTAAACAGTTACCACCATTTCATTATTAACAAATTCAATAAAATAGATATATATGATTTAATAAATGAATTGAAAGCTCCGAAAAGTGTCAATAATTAATTGGTTTTGAAATACATAATATGTCTAATTTGTTACAAATTTAGAAATTTTATTGAAATTTGTCGTTAAGCACAAACTATGAAAAAAATCACTTTCGAAAATTTTGTAAAAATTTGATTTTGTGACTAAAATAGTCTAAAGCAACCTTGAAGGAGAATGCATTATCCGCTGCACAACATTTAAGAATTTTTTTTTGAAGGTCAATAAGTAAAAAATAAGTAAAAAATACATGAAATAATTTCAAGCAGAATAGAAAATAGCTAATATAAAAAATAAATTTTGACATTTAATGCATTGGAATAGCGAAATTTCCCTTCAGAAAGAAAAACTCGTTTTTGAAGTTTAGCTTTTCATAATTTTCGAATTTCTTACAAATAATGCTTTGTTCTCATCGGCCACAGAGATGACAAAAGTTTTTAAATTCTTAGTGTTTTCTGAATGTGTAGAAGATGGTCTGATTAGGAATAAATTATTAATCAATATCTAAGATTAGGCCATCTTTAAATTATAATTTAAAAATAGCTTTGTTCGGTTTAAAGACAATGCTATAATCGATTCCTAATTCCTAAAATACTTGGCTTTCTGCAAAAGCAATTAAATCTGTTGTAAAATTCCCTTTTTTCTTCTATTGCTTATGTGTGTGTGTGTGTGTGTGTGTGTGTGTGTGTGT